CCGTGCGTATTCGTTTGCTCGGAACGGTCGAGAACGTCCGCCGTGTCCGCCACGACACGGCGTTTTTTGCGTGGGCTTACGGCCGTCCGTTGTTCATTCGGTTTTTTTTTTTTTTTGTTTTATTTGTTTCGCTTCTCCCCGGTCGCCGCGAGCCTATTATTTTCTCGTACACGCGTTCGTATCGTAAACAATAATAATAATAATAATAATAATATTATTATCACCATCATCATCGTAATCGTCTTGTACAGGCGGCTAGCGTTTTACTCGCCGTAACCGTCTCCGGTAGTACACATTATGATTTACAATATCGCATATACAATATACAATATACAATAATAATAACAGCTGTATCGGTATAGCAGTGCACGCGAACAATCGAATCTCCTCGGCGACCGCAGTCGAATTATTTATGTCGACGAGTACCCGCGTAAGCGTGTTATTAATATGTCTTTCTCCGTTTCTTGTTTTTTTTTTTTTCATATTCCAAACGAGATGCTGTATACGGTCGGCCACGTCTTTGATTTTTTTTAATTTTAAAATATTGCGTTACACCTATTTATAATATGATTTGATAATATCAGATGATTACATGATACAGAGTGATCGATATAACGCAAGACACTCGTCGTCTCGGGAAGCGTGAAGGTTTTTCCGAGTTGGTTTTCTGCTCTAAATAGCACTCTGGCTCTATTAAAAATTTTACTCTCTTCTTTCTTCCGTCATCCTTATTTTAAGGAGTGAAACGGCTATTTACTTTTAGTTTTCAAATGAAAACGTATAATAAATATTCAATCAATAGATTGAGCATCAGTTTTTATCAACGATGGTGTTAAAATCTTTAATTTATGTCAACCATATGTGGAGATACTTCCACTTTTAAGTTTCGGCGGATAGAGAGAGAGCGGCGGAACATTATTAAAACGGCGCACGTCGTGCCGCTACACAAATGGTATTCCACCACTCTCCGCCGCCAACATTAAAAAGCAGAATATCTCGCTAACGGATTGACGGAAATTAAATATTTGAACACCAAAATTTATTTGAACTAATACTCCGTCTACTTATGGAATATTGAACAATGATTTTCGTTTGGATATCAAAAGAAAGTAGTTATTTCACACCTAAAATAAAGGTGAAGAAAACTAACATAACATTTTAAAGCTTCTTATTTCTTAAATTAATCTTTAATTTCTTAAATCGTAATTAATGAATATTATTTTTACGGTTTTTTTTTTTTTATTATTAAGAAAATTCTTTCTCAACACAGATAATGTTCTATCTGTTACGAATTCATGTGCAGATACTGCAGTGCCGGTTAAGCTTTTAATTAAAATTACTAGGCGATCATGAAATGTATAAAACGGGAAATCAGTTAACACAGAAACTATTATGCATTCGTGCAGTATCTCCGGTGTACTCGTTTTGTTTTATTTTGTCCTATAATACGTACAGTTTTGTTTTAAAGTAATGAGCGATGTTTTGGGTGATATGAAATTTAAAAATATATTTCCAGAAATTTTCACGGTTTTTCACCTTAATAAAAAAAAAAAAAAAAATTGAAACAGAATTTGTATTTAATAAAAGTAAACCTGATTTTTTGAAATTTGTCGTTTACTGCTTGTCTCATTGGAGAACAGTAATATAATTAATCACAAAAAACAATATGTGCTGGAAATATGTTATTTCACCTATTCAATATGATATAGGGTAATTATATTTAACATTTTCAGAAAATTTTAAATTAATTCATTTTTTTTTTTTTTTAATTATATAATTGTTTTAGCTTTATTTTCAAATTCGTACTTTTCCTTACACTTTATATGAATATTAACTTTTAAATTTAAAATAGCAATTCCCTTTTGTACATTGATTCAAATTTAGATCAAAGTAGTAGCAAAGGGCAAAAAATTACACATCCATTTTTAGATGATAGCTCTTCCATACTTTTCCGATTTAAATTTTAATCTTAACATAATTTAACTCATATCTAACGATTTTCAGATCAGTATGTTTAGAAAAAATATTATCTTTTCAAATCTGTTTTGAAAGGGGCAAAGCTAAAATTAAAAGTTATTGTGGATTTATGGTTTACGCAGTGATTAAAAAAGAAAACCAATTTTATTCGATACCATCGTGAAAATATAATCTTTGGATCACTATAAGCAAATCACTCTGTATATTTATCGTACAGTTGTTGTTTGACGAGCGTGTCTGTAGTTGTATATTTCCAATCGATTCCCTAGGTAATATTTTAACGAAAAAAAAAAACCTCCAATGCATAACGGAGTATTATGAATTAAAAAAAAAAACATACTTTCTACATAATATGTACAAATATGTAAATATTTATTATTTTTTGACGTTGACAAGGGTCGAAATCGATGAAATCCGACTGAATTACCGATGAATAAAATATTCCACGAATTCGACTTGACTTTTAAATAACTTTGCTGCAGTACTGTACACTAAAAATACATATTATTATTTAAATATTATAATATTATTATATTATAGTGTTTGATATAGATAAGTGTTGACACGTACGATTAAAATACAAGCACAATAATTTTGTTCGGAAAACAAGTGCTGATATAAATTGGATTTTTTTTTTTATCTATTTAAAACGTGTACGCATGACACAAATTGATTAATATCTATGATGGCTTTTCGTACGATTTTTCGAACCATATAATTTATTTTCGGCAGTTTTTTTTGTTTTTTTGTTTTAAGTGCGTAGCGCTTCTTGTGTATTCATAAAATCGTCAAAAATGTTGTTAACTACTGAGTTTATTAATAACCTGCAGAATTTGTCATCAGTATAAAGCTGGTTAGCACCCTGTAAAGTCGATTGTGTTGAAATTTCATAATTTTAAACATCGAATTTCTGTATTCATATTTTTAAAATTAGGGAAATTAGGACGTATATTTCGCACCACGGTTAAGTCATTGTTGTAGATGGGAAGATTGTAACGTCTAGGGTATAGGGCAATTCAATATTTAAAATTGTTTTCATATTATATAGCGAGAACAACGAAAATCATTGTAGTTAAAGCAGATTCTGAGCAGAGTATTATAATGTGTCGTCTTTTTCCTCGTGGCCAAGTAGGTAACCCAGACATCAATAAAAACAAAGTCGATGTATCGACATTTTTTGTAGGTTTTTTTAAATTTTAAAGAAAATATATAATCGGGATTATTTTTGTTTGAGTATTTAAAGAGTAAATTAAAAATTATAACATAATACGTTTTTATCAAAAATTTCCAATTTTTACGTTAAAAAATTGTATTTTCCTAATTCGTAATAAAATACTAACATTGTGTTTTCCATTCATAGTAAAAATAAACCCACGTATTTGCTTTTAAACAGTATTGTACTAAAAACTTAACAGTACAAAGCAATATTTAATTTACACACCAGTTGTTATAGATAAATTAAAAAAACAAAAATCAGCTCAAATTAATTTAATAATGTAAACTGCATGTGATATTATTTTCAAAAAAAAAATAAATACCCACTTATCATTTAGTCTCAGAATTCTTCTCGAACGAAAGTAATCCATAAAAAAAAAAAAAAATGTAAGAATAATTTTTCGTTTTTGTTTTTTGAGTATTTCTAAGAATACGGATTTCGGCCACGTAAATATACGATTCAGATTATTGTATTATCATTGTAATGTGTGACGGTTGCGCATTCAGGTTTGTTTGTTTGTATTTTTTATAAACCATTTATTTTATTTCACATGCCATCTCGTTCGTATAAGCATTTTTATAATTGAAAAATAACACACCTCTACGGTATATTACATAATTGCGTAAAACAATCACACCGGTCGGTAGTTTTTTTTTTCAGTAGGTACGCTAATTATTGTATTTTTCTTTAATTTCGTTCCTTTCCGCAGCCAGTAAACTATTGTTAGTGGAGTTTTCCGCGGGTAATAACCATAATAAACATACGTAATAATAGTAATAATAACGACGTAAGCCGTTTAAAATGTTACCCACTTGCGTACATTTATTACAATATTCTCTTATACACAAAACGAGTCGGTAACCTTAAATTCCCGTATTGCAATTATTAGATATTATTATTATTATAATAGGGAACTACCTGTTACGTTTATTGTTATTATTTTTTTTTTTTATAATTGCAGTTATAACACGACGTGTTGATACACGTAATTTAAACGCGACCCAACTACGCTATTAAAATAATTGAAAAAAGCTACCTATTCGCTAAATGATATTAATTTAATAGTTTGTTCGCAATGGTCAAAAACGAATAAAATTGATATTAAATCAGAAATGTGTAAAACATAGGTAACAACTGCATTTATGTATTGCAGTAAACAATATAAATTATACGAAAAATAACTGTAAAAATTATGAAACAAAAAATATGTAATACTTCGCTCCGTGAGTAAACTGATGATATTATATAAGTGGAAAATTGCAGAAGGTACAACACATCTATGTACAAAGTAATTTAGTTTATTTAATGTACGCAGCGAAGATAAATCATTGCAAATGGAAGACGATTCTGAACGAAGTGTGAATAAATATTTTTTGATCGAAATTAATTGAAAATTAAGGTGATTAATTACGAATAAGAACGATAAATAACTGATAACGAAAAAACGATTCTGAGAGGAGTTCGGATGATAGTATTGCTTTGTCAACAATATAGGTCATATTATGCTAAAATAACTACACATGTATGATAAATTTTCTTTAATTGTACCTATTTTCCCGATTTTTGTTTTATTAGTAAAACTCCTGAGAAAAAATGAATTCCCTAAAGTACCACCCCAGTTAGATTATCTTTCAGTTATTCAGCTATAATTTAAAATTGGAGCAAGATTTCCGGTAAAAGAGTTGTCCGTAGAAAAAAAAATAAACATCTTTGTAAAACCATAAGCTTGTTCGCACCATTCATAATCTTAAAAGTGGTATAATCCTATCGAAGTATAACTAAATTAAAAGAAAGCTGTCCTAGGATAATGGAGACGGGTTCAGCCACTGTTATAGGTGAGAAGTTGGGAAGGTAGGATACAGACGGGAATTTAACGTATATTTGTACGCAACGATAAACCATTGTTAATGAAAAAACGATTCTGAGCGGAATTCGGTTGATAATATTTCTAAGTCAACAATTTAATATATTATGTCATATTATGACAAAATAGTGTAACAAAAAATAAAATTGTAAATAATAACAGCATTATTTTTGTAAATTTTTCAGTTTTATCCCGGATTATCCCAGATGAAAACCACTTGGAACGTTTGGAAGGTTAGAAAAATTGTTCAATCAAAAAATGTTCCATACTTACATATTAAGGCAAGATTTCTAGTATACAATTTTGTCACAGTTTATATTAAAAGAAAATAAATAACATTGTAAAACCAATTCATTGTTCGTTATATTCAGAATCTAAAATGGCATAGTATCGATTTCGGTTGAGAATGAAAATACTCACAATTTATAGGTTTCTAGGTGTAATACAATTATGTCAAACAATTGATAGTGCAGAGAAAAAAATGGAAACATTCTATTAAAAAAAATATTCCCCAATAAATGCACAAAAATTGTACTATGATCTTTGGAATCAAACCCGATGATATTTACAACCGTGTTAACTGCAAATCTAATTATATACTAAATGATACATTTTTTTTAAAAATATTTATTTTTATTATATTTGTTTAATCGCGTGCAATTATTAACATATTCGTCAGAACAATTATTATTATTTCAATAATATCACTTGTACTTTCTTCAGTATTTTGCACAACGGTCGTATTTACACGATCGCTGTATTTTCGAAATCTACAGCTGATATTGCCCAGAACGAGTCAAGTGACCGGTTGGCTTGCTGTTCAAACTGGCTTAGTGCTTAAACGCAGAAGAAAACGGTGTCGTCCAACATCTTCGAAAATCGACGTGCGACCAGCTGATTTGCGATCGACGAGAAAAGCCGCGATCGATGATGACCCGGCACCGCCTCTATTATTGCCGAAAATCGGTATTGTGCATAAACACTATTGCTTGTGTACAGAAGACAGTAATTTGAAATATCGAATCGCCAGGAATTAACGTAACGCCGGAGAAGCCGACGAAGGTAACGGAGCGCGCGGGACCAACTCGTCCGTCTTTACGAAACGCACTGTTCAGACGACGGCCAACCGAACCTCGTGACGATTCTCGCCGGTAAATCGACGTCTCGTGTTCACCCCGGATACCGGGTTCGGTCGGTTGCCGGCACGTCGAACTGTACCAGCGACGTCGGCCGAACAATCTTACGCCGGTGCGCCGAAAGACGGTGCCACGCTTCCCAATTACGTGGTAGGTACGCAAGACCAGAATTTAATTGTAGAAAAATAAAAACAAAATAATAACAACGCAGTAATAAGCTTATTGATACTTTCAGATTTGTCGGCACCTAGCAGCCATGTACATAGAAACGGTTAGTTTTATTAGTCGGGTTAACTATCGTGATATATTTGTCTTTCGTCACATATATATGTAATATAAATGGTACATGTGATAATATGAGGAAAACAGCTGATATACAGTGTTGACGAGTGTTATGTGTGATACAGGGTGGATGTTAAAAGGGAGGAAATATAGAGTAATTTGATTACAGAACGATAAAACATAGTTATGTAAAACGGTTCTCAGCAAAGTATGTTGCCGAGGAAACCCGTATAATCCATAAAAATTGCGTAAACAATTTCCATTTTTTTTTTCCATTTGTTAAGAAAACAACAAGGAAAATCGAAAAAATTACGCCGCCAATCAATGAGTTGCTTCAGTAACAAAATAACAATATACTGCACGAAATTTTTTATTAAGCTTTCGATCTTTTGCTATTTTTAAGCTATATTTAAAGACATTTAAATTTTATACAATTTTTATTCGGTACGTTATCTGTGGATGAAATTGTTAGCCAGAAATGCTTGACAATTTAACAAGAGGTTCATTATATGTTGTACTTTGTGGTAAAAAAAAAAATTTATTGTAATGTAGAATTTTTTTTATTGGAATTTTAGAATTCAAATTTTGACGAAAATCGTAAATATTACTGCCTTTTAAAACATATATGAGTTGTTTTCAAAAAGTTCCAGGATTCCTTGAATAAGCGTTAAAGAGCAGTAGTATCAGATATCGCTGGGTTCTGTAACTTCACCTGAGCACATCTATTTTCGTAGATTGTCTTATAAACTTCTTCGTTTTGATGTTTTTGTAAAATATTTTTTTTCGCATTTGGCAATTTTGTAATAAATTCAAAAGAAGAGATTTTTTTTGATGAGGGTAGGATTTTACGTCATGGCCTGTTTACATCCATCTTTTCTCGATAGTAATTATCCTTTCATTATTTTCAATAAAAATACCTATGAATTCTATAAAAATATAGTACTTGTTATAATAATTATTACGAAAAATAATATTCTTTATATATATATATATATATTTTTTTAGAATATTTACAAAAATAAAAACGTACAAAAAATTAGACAGAGGACCTATAGGAGGTATGAAGAAAACGATAATATATTTACTCGGTGAAATTTTACCGGGTATGTAAGGTCGAACAAGGATATATTTATCCCATTCTGCGCACGATAATTGCGATTATAACATACGATATATTCACCCCTGTCAAGAAATATTTACCGGTAGTCAAATATAACCTAGGATATGTTTACCTCTCCCAAAATTTCGTTTGAGGTAAATTTATCCTAGAATATATTGGCCGGCGGATAAATATATTTGGGAGTTAATAATAGCATGTTACATTCTTACAATACTTTAAATAATTTATTCCTGCTTCTTATATCTAAAAAATTATTATTTTTAGATGACAAATTCTTAGACATTTTAGGGAATAGGTTCGCTAAAATTAGTGTCCCCTATTTAGATTTGTGCTCAAAAAAATTAACTTGATATTTAAAAATATCCCGCGAGGGATACCAACGGAAAATAATTTCCCAATTAGACGAATTTCACTTACCGAAAACTATCCCCCGCCACCCCCACACTCGTTGATACTGGATCCGGATTTTCGGTCGGAAAGTTGTTCCGACAGACATATGTAATCATAAAAAAACCTTTTGCTGCCACTCTTTAGAATGTAAAACGATCAAACGCAAATCTGAAACAAGTGTTCGATATTTCGCAGTCCCACGTGGTACACGTTATGTAGCAATTTTTTTCGTCAGATTACGATTATATGTTTTTTTTTTTTTTTTCGGACCGTAAACTATAAACATTGTAATACCGCGAACCTAACCGACGCGACCGGTTTATTATTATTATTGTCGTTGTTATAACTACTGTATCGTGTTATTATTATTACGGACACCGTGTCCACGAAATCCTCAAAAGAATTTCTCGAGTGAGCCCTTAGTGTTCATATACTCGACGGATGACGCATGTCGTGCAAATACATTGTGTAAATAATGTATGCACACGCAGACAACATCGGGACAATCTGAAATAAAACGTCGACAAAAGGAAGGGTACCGACCATTCAGTTCCGTTCGAGTGTGTTCGCACGTAGGCTGTGTAAAAAAATGTACTCGTGTACATATCTGTGTATATCATTTCGTCGGCCATCCCTCTCGTTGAAGTGATATGTTCTATAGATCGCGTATGCAAGTACGGCCATTGCCATTGTATAAACGAGCGTGTAAAAAAAAATAATAATATATGCATATCGAGCCAGTTATCAGGTTTTCAGCCGGCGACGACGGTATGACAATAATAACAATAATATAACGAAACGTTTCAATAGAAAAATAATAGTTACAAGTAAAATTCTAATTGCGGTGCAATACAATACAAATATACTGAAATTGTTTAAATCTAAAATTTCAAATATCGTTTTTTTAAACAATATGTTATTGGTTTGCGGTCTTGTTTTGTTCGCGAAGTATCTTTTTACGGTGTTTTTTTTATCTAATTTTGTATGTTTTCCGAGGATGTTATTCGGATATAATTTTACATCATGTTAAAAATGCGAAAAAGCTGGTCATAAATTGCACCGCAATTGTTGTAGTCTGTAGTTAGAGACTTTGGATCGTATAGAACGTAAGGAAATTCTAGGTGTTAATATACTAAAAATATTGTGCTAAAAAACGATTCTGAACAGAGAACAGTACACTAGGTATTATTGATTAGTCTTTTTTTTCTTTTTTTTTGAAACTAAGATAACTCAGAAAGAATAAAAAAAAAAATAAAACCAATACTACTGTCAGTTTTTTTTTTTAATTTTTTAGAAAGCCGTTGAAAATAGTAAAAAACATTTGCTGTTAACGGATTCAAAATCCGCGTCTTTTCTTGGTTCGGAATGAATGAGAGTTAATCGTAAATGTGTTTTCCGGTGAAAAATAAATACTATATCTTCTTAGCGATACTCAGTGCCTATCTAAAATTATCTAATCACAAAATTACACGTTTTGTTTAAAACATCAAATATGGAAATTGTGTTAAGCTCACTGCTGCACGTACGAAACATAAATCGAGTGTTACTGCATTATTAAAATACCTATAGTGATTGAACATTCGCGTATTTATTAAAAAGTACGTTTCCGCGAGTGCGATAATTTGTATTTAGACTCCGTGAGATGTAATGTTTACGACGTAAACGCGTTTAAGTTATAATAATATTATTTTCAAAATACGATTTTAAGTTGAAATTGTTGATACTAACGTTATTATAACAGGCGATATCCCTAAGACAGTTAGGGAGGGGAGATACGTATAGACTCCATAAAGTGCATTTAAAAGCCGACCCTCATAAATTCGACTGCAATCCGAGCTTAATGTCAAAATATCTACTTAAAACGGAGAAGTTTGGATCCGAAATAACACCAACAACTTTGCAGTGATTATAAATCGTAATCTTGATTATTTCTAACGGTAAGTTATAACTCATAATATAAATATACTGCTGCAAGAACGCGATGAGTATTATTTTTCATTACTCGGATTAAGCCAAATAACGAAACGATTGTTATTATAATTTATAATAATATTTTTTTTCGGTTGCTTTTGGCAAAGTAATGTATTAACAATTATAATTAACAAAACCGTATTACCATAAAATATCAATAATTATTATTATCATTATACTACGGTTTAAACGAACAGCGGCGCAATATTTTTGATTCTGAGTGTAGCGGAGAAGATATATGCATATTTATTTTTTTAAGATGATCAGATGTCTTTCTTGATTTCTAATTATTATAATACCATTGTGAATTCAAAACAGAATCGGACAAAACTCGTCGAATCGTTTACACAGATTATACCAGGTGATTTAATTAAGTGGGCACATTCGTTATCTCGGAAAGTATTAACTTTTCCCGGAATTTGTTTTTTAGAACACTTAAGAAACAAGCGGTTCCACAATTTTATATTTATGTTATTTTTTGTCGTCTTTATTTTTGAGGGCGAAACCAGTAAAACCTACTTGTGATTTTCAAATGGCAGCCTATATTAAAAAATCCGTTAATAGATTAAGTATTAGTTAAAAAAAATTCAACACGCCACACCAATAATACTCCACTATTCACCTCTAACCCAAACTTAAATGTCGAATATCTCGTCGACGGATCGACGGAAATAAAAAATGTCAACACTAAAATGTATTTTAACTAATATTCAATTTATTTATGGACTTCTTAATATAGGTTGCCATTTGAAAATCAAACATAAAGGTGACAAAAAGTAACACAAATATAAAATTGTGGAACAGCTTGTTTTTTAAATGTTCTAGAAAACAAATTCCGGAAAAAGTTAACACTTTCCGAGATAACGAGTGTACCTACTCAAACGAATCGCCTGGTATGATATCCACGGCGAACAAAACGATATTTTTATTTACGAAAAGATAACTTTAGGTGACTCGCCGACGAGTGGTTATTTCCACAAACGGCTTCTTCCGTAACCGCGCATTTTATGTTCAAGATATTATACTGTATTGAATATTTAATCGGATTCGAATAGTCCGTCGGCTATACATGTTATACGTGTAATATCCGCAAAATACTATTGTAACAATTACAAACGGGATTGCAATTTATATTCTA